TCCTCCTGCCACCACTAGCTAAAATAGGGCTGGAAGAGGAAAACTGGGTTACAAAAGGAGCTGAAAACTGTCTTTTAGCAATTAAAAAGTATAATCTAACATCGGTCGATACATCATCATAGTGATCAATATGAGACACAGCTAACTAACCTCCTTAACCTGCTTAGGAGCCCACCACAATCATGTTCCTATCTGATCTATTTCTATTTATTAGAAAGCAATTTAAACTCTCATATGAAACGGATAATCAATGAGCAATGAGTCACTAGCGTAATAATGCACAAGGTCATACAAAGTGGCTTTCAGTGGCGAGATAAGATGTATGTTTTCAAAAAATGGAAAAGAGCAGTGCTCTGAAGCATTTGTGAGAAGATAGTATATTGACCCTTTTCACAGGTTAAAATTGAGTTTTATGGAAATAAATCATCAGGAAGGGTTTGTTTGTGTGTGTGATGGTGCTGGGGATACAGTTTAAAGCAGAGTGAAAGCGTGTAGCGAGAAAGCTGATATGTAGTGAGTTAACATTCACCTAAAAAGTATGATGAAGCGTCTAACGGCCCTAAAACAGTTGAAAAGTAAAATTCTCACTGAACCTTCTTTTCATGGACTTTTTGTTGAAGGGGCCTGTTAACGTCCCTGCTGGGTTGGACTAATGGCATGAAGTATGACAGCCTTTTAAATCAAAACTTTGTTCAAAGCAGGTCTGCCTCAGAAGTGCCCAAAACATGACTGGTGTCTCCGCCTTCATGGCCTAAAAACCTGTAAATCTGTTATCCATAAAAGACAATTAAAACAATGTTACCCTGGCCACTGGCATGTCTATATTGAGTGAGATGCTGGTTAAAAACACAAATTTATTTTGCAAAGGGTTGCCAAAGAATTATGACTACAATATGAATTACCTTTGCCACATTAATGACTTCTGCTGGTGGAAAAGGAGAGGGCTGAGAGTTCATGTGTGACTGGGCTTATCCAGAAGGCACCCCCTGACACAAAACTATATTAACATTCTTTGACAACTGAAAATGAGAGAAATGTATTGGTGGTGGTTGCTGAATGCACTTACTTTCAACTCTGCATGTGAGTTTCAGCAGAAAGACTCTCTCATCTGACCCTATCTATACTCTTAAATGTTACAAACAGGACACCAGTTAGCTCACTGCTTAAACAAACGTCCCATGTACAAGGCGGAGTCCTTAATGCAGCGGCCTGGGTTCTAGTCCATCCAGCAACCCTTTGCTGCATGTCATTCCCAAGGTTGAAAGTACAGGTGTGTAGGTCAGGGAAGTGGATGGGACTGTAGCGCATGGAAGACAAGAATTCATTTCCTGTTACAGACCGGCAATTTTAAATAAAATTCAGTTTATTTCAAAATGGCAAATTCCCCAAAAAGGGAAACCATTGTGACATTGTGACTCCATTAGGCGAGTTATATTTGCATTCGCCACCTACATTGTAGAGATTCAGGTAAACAAGTACTTGCGTAAAATGAGTGGCCTATCAGAACTGACCTGGATATAGGTTCCTATACAGTTAGCCATATTGGCCATTCCAGGTGGCTAATTTCTATACTTTAATCTGTACCTCTCCAAAACTACAAAAAAGTCCAGTTGTTAACAAAGTTAATGAAAAGCAGAACAGCACAGATATCTACAGGATCTCCAATATCTTTTAATGCTCAGTGAACCGTTCTCATACCAGCATGTCTGACTGGAATTCATTTAAGGATTCATTTACGAGTCCTGCTGTCTCACTCTCTGTGTTTGTTCCACACTCTGTCTCGTTGCTTTTTTCTTCACATCTCACATTCTCACGTGTACATAATATTTCAATATAAATAAGTAAAAAAAAAACACATAATCTGAGATGATAAAAAGCCACCCTCTGAATGTTGACTGAGTCTTGATTGGATGCTGCAGCACCATGACTTAGATGAAGCTCAAACAACTAAATCAAATGTTGTAAATTATTATTTGCAGACATTCTACCTCCCTCACTTTCTCCCCTTCCAACTCTCCCTCTCTCCGGTTAAGGCATATATGTTGAGAGATGGCGAAAGTCAAGTCAATTTTATTTGTATTGCCCAATATCACAAATCACAATTTGACTCAGTGGGCTTTACAATCTCTACATCTTACAACACCCTCTGTCCTTATAACCTCGATTCAGATAAGTAAAAACTTCTCCCAAAAAACCCTTTAACAGGGAAAAAAATCAAAGAAACCTCAGGATGAGGAGGGATCCCTCTCGCAGGACGGACATACGTGAAATTGATGTTGTGTGTTCAGAATAGACAGACATAATACAATTACAGTATTGTTACGTCCCAAGGTCTAGGGGTGTCCTGGATGTAACATAAATGTGTGGCCTCCCATTCTTCCCATTCCCAAACAAGGTCAGCACACAACAAATACAATTTAGCAGTTTTTATTATACATCGGAGATGAGCAGTGCCCAAAACAACAACCAAAACACTAAGAAAACCTAAATCTTTCCTAAACCTAAAAGACAAAGCTCTAAAACTAGGCTTCTAAGTCCAAAAACAGGAGAAAACGGTGCAAACAAAAAAAAGGGCTTCTCACTCCTACTCACTGCTAGTAGCTGACACAATATAGCTACGACAAAGGAAATTGCTTCATAGCAACAAAGATGGCAAAGCCAACCAGGTTGTCATAAGACAATCAGAAGGACTACGATAAACTACTTACAATCTAAGTTGAATATAGTCACAACCGTTAACTATGTACAATAAACACAGACATAACACACAGTCCTCAGGCAGGTTGAGAATGGCAGAGAGAGGGGGAGAGTTCCTGTCAGTAGGGCTTAAGCTGGCTGCTGTCATCCAGGTGCCCAATCAGGAGGCTCCAATCAGCTCAACCGGACCAATCCAGTGTTTCCACCTGTTCTCCAGTACCTGCATACACTCACACACACACACTCTAATGGAGGAGAACAGCTGACAGTGCCAGGAGAGATAAACAAACAACAAAATATGACCCCAGGGTCATAACAGTATGGACGATCATGATGACAAAATTACAAATAGACTTTAAATATTAAAGTTGCAAGCAGCATTGGGCGGGCCTTCGCACTTGTAGCGCGTCGAGGTGTGAGGCGGCCGCATTGCAGATTCTGGAGCTTTGCCAATGCGGTTGTGAATTAGCTACACGCTTCGGACTCTGCATGAAGGTTTTATACGTCACTTCCTGTGTCCCCTTTGATGACTTACAAGGTGCCATTTAAAGTTGTTGTTTGTATAGGCCTACTGAAGCAAAACAATCTATGGTGAACATCACATTCAACACTATACTCCTCTCATTTGGATTCAGCTGTTGTTTCTGGTTCTTGATGCTCTGTAATCGATTCTACTCCAATACATTAAGTTCTTTTGTATAATTTTTCATATATCCTAACTCCTCTGCAATCGGCTCTGTTCTCTTTTTCTTAATTTTCAGTACTTTCTACATTTCTCTTGCTTAGACTACGGTTTTATTGTGTTAAATATAAGGTAGCTAGGTAGGTTTATTGTCACAATATAACAAGTTATAGAGTGAAATAGAGTTTTTTAACTCCCTTCTGCTACATAGCAGACAATATACATTAATAAAGAATTGATTATGCACATTACCGGAGCAGTGCTGAGGATGAATTAGAGTTTAAGGGGGGGAAGCTGCTCTGCAGTCTGGTTGTGTGGCAGCAGAAACTTCAATATCTCTTCCCAGAAGGCAGCAGGGTGAACATGCTCTGGCTGGGGTCCTTTAGTATCCTTTGGGCTCTGCACAGGCACCTCACCGATATCACTGATACTCAGGAGATGGGTACCAATGCTCTTCTGAGCAGTTTTAATCACCCGCTGCAGAGCTCTAACTCTTAATAACTGTTTAATGTTGATTAATCTGATGATTATTTGCTTGATAAATTGATCAAGAAAATCTGACCTATTAAAAGGGCTTGTTTTGTCCAACCAAAAGTCTAAAAAACAAAAAGCTGTTCAGTTTACTATGATAGAAGTCTAAGAAACCAGAAAAAATTAACATTTAAAGGAGACCTATTTTACTGCATTTCCACTACTGGATGGTTGTTGTGCCTTTGGATGCACTAATCGAGGAGGAGACAAGCTTGGGCTGTGTTAGGTGAGGGATTCCCCACAAGGTAAACGTAAACATACTGCAGTCGAGCAGTGGCGGGGACCTGGTGGTTTTTAACTGTAGAAATGCATCAGCAGATGCTGTAACGTTATATGGATCGGACATGCCCAACACTTCACAAGACTGTTTGTGTTCATATCTGTCTTTTTCTTAAGTTGAAAGGTGATCCAAATTAAATTTGACTGCTTTTGCGGCGTCTCTACGGCGGAGTCGCGGTGTGAGCCGCTATTTTGGTCTGTTGTATTGCCCTCCAGGTCACCGTGCATGTCACGTGACTGAAAACTATGAATTGTCTTATGTGTTTACCAGGTTGCCGCAGGGATAAGGCTGCATGTAACTTTGTGGGCGTAACCAGCATTCTCTGCCTGGAGCAAATGACTATATATGGAAATCCGGCTCAGAATGACATCATACCGAGCCGTTAGAACAAAAAACTTTTTTTATATAGCACCAAATCACAACAACAGTTACCTCACAGCGCTTTTCACAAAAGAGCAGGTCTAGACTGTACTCTATGATGCTATTTACAGGAGCCCAACAGTTCCCACCAAGAGCAAGCACTAGGCGACGGAGGCAAGGAAAAACTTCCTTTTAAGAGGCAGAAACCTCGAGCAGAACCATGGCTCAGGGTGGGCGGCCATCTGTCTCGACCGGTTGAGGGTGAAGGAGAGAGAGGGAGGGAGAGAGAGAGGGGAGGGAGGCAGCCTACATAATATACACACACAGAGGTAAAGACAGTAAAGGTGATGTTGCTATAGACTAAATGAAAAATGGCACAGATATTTATAGTAGTGTTAATGGTAACAGTCGTAATGTTAACGATTATAATAACAATAATAACAATAGGACTAGTGTCAAGTTCTGTGTGTTTTTAATTGATTACAGCTCAGCCCAAACTTGAAAACTGCTTTTCTCTCTGAAGAACGCAAAGGACAACTCAATCTTTTCACTTCTTGATTCTTTTTTTTCTTTGAGATGGTTTGATAGACCAGTGATGGAATAATATGGTATAGTTTCTTGAAGGTGACTTGATAGATCAGTGTGGGGCAGTAGGTATAGGTTGATAACCTTTCAAATACACAAACCAAAACATGAATTAGTTACAGATAAGTCATGAATCAGTCACACATAAATCACACACGATCTAACCTAGGATTTTAACAAGAAAATACCAATCCCGTAATTAAACTCATGCACATGTTACTTCTATCAAGTTCAACATTCACATAACAAATCCCCATTACTTATTTTAAATTGCAAATTACAATCCAAGCAGAACCTGAACATTTAAAACTCAATATATTCAAACACAGTCAATCATAAATTGTCCTACCAGTTGCGTCTTTGAGTGATCAGGAGCTGTAATCATAGTATCCTTTTCCAGGAATAAATGAGAGAACCAACCGAACTCTCTACAAACATTTCAATGCCATGCTCTCTCTGTGGGTGCGCAGGCAAATATAGTCCCAAAAGCTACTTCCCCAAAAGTTGGTTCCACCAACTTTTGTTGCATGATTGCCCCCTGCAGTTTGGGAGTGCCCTGAGAGCCCTGGGTGAATCTAGGCTTGGATTGCTCAGTACAACTAAAGCAAAGTAACCATAAATTGACACAACAACTAGTAACAATAGGACTAGTAACAATAGGACTAGTAACAATAGTCGTTGCAGCAGAGGGTGTCGAGCAGGAACACGGGGGCAGCAGGTGACCCGCAACCACAGATCCAGACTCCACAGCTTCAGAGCCAGAAAACCTGCAGGAAGTGATAGGAGGAGAGAGGAGAGGGACGAGAAAGCACAAGACTACCAGAAAGGGGAGAAGTTTTGTTAGTAACATGCAATAATGGGATGAGGTTGCATACAGAGGGAGAGAAAGTAGAGGAGAGAGGAGCTCAGTGCATTATAGGAAATCCCCCGGCAGCCAAGGCCTATAGCAGCAAAACAAAGGGATGGTTCAGGACTCACCTGAGCCAGCCCTAACTATCAGCTTTATCAAAAAGGAAAGTCTTAAGCCTACTCTTAAATGTGGAGATGGTGTCTACCTCCTGAACCCAAACTGGAACCTGGTTCCACAGGAGAGGAGCTTGATAACTGAACGCTCTGGCTCCTAGTCTACTTTTGGAGACTCTAGGAACCACAAGTAACCCTGCATTCTGGGAGCGCAGTGCTCTGGTGGGGTAGTAAGGTACTATGAGCTCTTTAAGATAAGATGGTGCCTGACCATTAAGAGCTTTGTGGGTAAGAAGAATGATTTTAAATTCTATTCTGGATTTTACTGGAAGCCAATGCAAAGAAGCTAAAACAGGAGAAATGTGATCTCTTTTCCTGGTTCCTGTCAGAACACGTGCTGCAGCATTCTGGATCAGCTGAAGAGTAAAAGTAACAAATGCATGGACTAGTTTTTCTGCATCATTTTTAGACAGGATGTTCCTGATTTTCGCAATATTACGTAGGTGAAAAATGGCTTAATGTGAGACTTAAACGACATGTCCTGATCAGAGATCAAGATAACTCCAAGATTCCTCACAGTGGTGCTGGAGGCCAGGGCGATGCCATAATAATAATGCGTCATGACTAACTTTGGCATGCATGGAGGACTCATTGTTAACATGTACAAACTGAAATCGATCTGATAAATAGGACTTAAACCAGCTTAGAGCGGTTCCTTTAATGGCAATGAAATGTTCCAGTCTCTGCAATAGGATCTGATGGTCAATGGTATCAAATGCAGCACTAAGATCTAATAAAACCAGTACAGAGACAAGTCCTTTGTCTGATGCAATAAGGAGGTCGTTAGTAATTTTCACCAGTGCTGTCTCTGTGCTATGATGAGCTCTAAATCCTGACTGAAAATCCTCAAATAAACTATTGCTCTGTAGAAAGTCACACAGCTGTTTAGCAACTGCTTTCTCCAGAACCTTAGAGAGAAATGGAAGGTTAGATATAGGTCTATAGTTGGCTAAAACATCCGGATCAAGTTTGGGCTTTTTCAGAAGAGGTTTAATTGCAGCTACTTTAAAGTACTGTGGTACATAGCCTGTTAAAGATAGATTGATCATATCTAGCATAGAAGTGCTGACTAAGGGTAAAACATCTTTAAGCAGCCTAGTCGGGATGGGGTCTAAGAGGCAGGTTGATGGTTTAGATGAAGAAATTATTGAAGTTAGTTGGTAAAGATTGAGGGAAGCAAAACAGTCTAAACATGTATCTGGTTCTACAGCTGTTTCTAAGGTTCCTGAGTTAAGAGATAAGTTGGTGCCAGTTGAGGGCAGGTCTTGGTGAATTTTGTCTCTAATAGCTAGAATTTTATCATTAAAGAAGCTCATGAAGTTGTAACTACTGAGAGCTATGGGAATACTTGGCTCAATAGAGCTGTGACTCTCTGTCAGCCTGGCTACAGTGCTGAAAAGAAACCTGGGGTTGTTCCTATTTTCCTCTATTAATGACGAGTAGTACGCTGCTCTGGCATTACGGAGGGCCTTCCTATAAGTTTTAAGACTATCTTGCCAAATTAAACGAGAATTTTCCACTTTGGTGGAACGCCAATTCCTCTCAAGTTTCCACGATATTTGCTTTAATTTGCGGGTTTCAGAATTATACCATGGAGCTAACCGTCTTTGTTTTAGTATTTTCTTTTTTAGAGGGGCTACAGAGTTGAGTGTCATTCGCAGCAAGCCTGCAGCACTATCAACAAGATGATCGATTTGGGAGGGACTGAAATTAGCATAGGAATCCTCCGTTACTTTGTGACTTGATAATGAATTTAGAGCTGATGGAATCGCATCCTTAAATTTAGCTACAGCACTATCAGACAGACATCTTGTATAGAAATTTTTGCCCAATGGCGAGTAGTTCAGCAATACAAACTCAAAAGTTATCAAACAGTGGTCGGACAAAGAGGGATTCTGTGGGAACACCACTAAATGTTCAATTTCAATACCATACACCAAAACAAGGTCGAGGGTGTGGTTAAAACAGTGAGTCGGTTCATGAACACTCTGAGAGAAGCCAATGGAATCTAACAGAGAGATAAACGCAGTACTAAAGCTGTCATTCTCAACATCCACATGAATATTAAAATCTCCTACAATAATAACTTTGTCCGTTTTAAGGACTAAAGTTGACAAAAACTCTGCAAATTCAGATAAGAATTCAGAATACGGGCCAGGTGCTCGGTACACTATAACGAAGAGAATTGGTTGCAGTGATTTCCAACTTGGGTGCGAAAGACTATGAACAAGGCTTTCAAATGAGTTATAGTTTGGTTTAGGTTTAGAGCTGATTAGTAGGCTAGAGTCGAAGATAGCTGCAACTCCACCTCCTCGGCCTGTGCCTTGAGGAATGTGAGTATTAATATGACAGGGAGGGGTGGATTCATTTAGGCTAACATATTCTCCATCACCCAGCCAGGTTTCAGTAAGACAAAATAAATCAATATCATAATCTGATATTAGTTCATTTACTAGTTCACCTTTAGAAGGGAGAGATCTGATGTTTAAGAGTCCACATTTAACTCTCCTATTCGTTTGCACTATTGCTCTTGTGGTTTTAATTTTTATAAGGTTTTTATGCACAGCTCCTCTTCTGTTTACCTTTTTAAATAATTTCGATGGTCGGGGGGCAGACACCGTCACTGAGGTTCTGGCTCACAGGGATTTCTTTTAAATACTTCTACCTCTTTATTTGAAACTTTGGTCATGTTTAACATGAACATCTGACATTGTAACATTATAGATATGCCAGAAAACATGAAAAAGCATAATAGGTCCCCTTTAAGAAGCTGGAACCTGAGAATTGGCATTTGGCTTTAAAAAATTACTTCCATTTTAATTACTAAAATTGTTGCTCATTAGTCCATTAGTTGATTGACTGTACTACACCCAGAACTTCTCATCCAAGTATTGGAGCATCTCTGAAGTTTGTCAGTCATTCTGTATTTCATACCAGCTTTAGGGCCTGTGTCCACCAAGGCGTTTTTTCCTGAGGCCAGCGTCTTTTTTAATTCATTGCATTGGGAGCGTCGTGTTTTTACATCATGGTAAAAACGGCAGCAGCGTGACGAGGCGTTCAGCGCTGGGCGCTGAGTGTTTTTTTCCGGTCACAGAGTGTTGAAAAATGCTCATCTTTGTGATAAACGCAGCGCTTGTCACTGTCACTTTTTACCCAGCCATCAAATCACAGTGCAGCAGGGGTGGGACAAACACAACACCGAGCCATCTCAGCTCTTGAATGAAACATTGAGGTATTTTCTCGTCCACAAAATCTAATGAACTCGCTCTACATGTTTCAGCCTTCTCTTCATGCAGAGCAAGTAGGCCTACATACTTGGTGGGCTTTACATTCAGTAAAATTAGGTAGCCTATTGCAGCACATCACCTCCACGGAAATTATGTATCATAGCAACCACAGCGTCTCGAAAAAAAACGCTGCACCTCCAAAGCGCACCCTTGTGCTCCCAGCTAGGCGTTTTCAGAACAGCAGCTACCGTTTTCAGCTGGTAAGAAACGCTTTGGTGGACACAGGCCCTTACAGTCAATCCGCTAAAGCTAGGTAAGCAACTCTTTCCCCAATACTCCAATGAAGAATAATCACTCCGACTTTCTGTCCACACCAGCATTTAGGACAAAACTATGGAGGGACTACAGAGGGAATCTCTCTATTTTCATAGAGAGATTAATCTGCCGTTGTTTGGCATTTTTACTTACTAATCAATTAATCAACTAATTGTTGTAGCTCTACATAAAACAAATTTCAGTCCTAACAAGCCTGAAAGTCAAAGTTCAACAATGCACAAGGACAGGTGTGTACGAGCAAAGCATGTTTTTTAGAGTTGAGTTTAAAAGTAAATTTCAAAGTTGACCTTGGAAAGAGAAATTGCAAAACAATCTCACCTCAAGGTCCATTTTGAAGCAGGAGCTTTCAATCGTATTATGTTCTCTTCTTCAGCAGAAGGGGTTTTGAGAGCAAGATAGTAGAGAATTGTAAAATGTTCCAAGGGTGCAAAAGCAACAGTTTTACTACCATTAACTACTACATTTGTTTGGTGTTAGTATTTTGTCATTAATAGAATTTCACACGAGCAGGACTACAGGGAGTAAGCAGTATAGATTTAGCATCGTATCACCTACACTTGGGCCCCCAGGAGGAAAGCAGCTCCCCGCTGAGTGAGACAGAGGGCAGGGGAAGTTACAGGGGAGACAAAGAGACCGGACAGAAAAAGTGAGACAGAGAATAATGGGGGTAGGATGAGGACAGGAATAGAGAGAGAAAACAGAGACAGAGGAGAGAGTGGTAGGATGGTAAATTGACTTTGAGGAGGTTAAACTCTGAGTCTATGCCCAGAAGAGACTGATTATGATAAGAAGAAGAAAGGAGAGAGAGTAGACACATATTTCATTAAGGAATTGGAGAGAGGCATAGGGAGGGGTGAATGTTGCCTCTCTCTATTTTTTTTTTTACCTGCATTGTTAGACAAGCTAATTAGGTTAGCAGCTAATTAGCTTGTTTTGATTCACTAAGTCACCTTGACCCAAGCTTTGACCTATTGGCCACTAACTGAATAGACACTGTCATGCAGACAAACAAAAACACATACACACACAAAGAGAAGC